GTTCTCCAACCGTTTGCTCACAGCACACAGCATGGAAGGAATATGGGACCTCCCAGAAGCAAGCAAGCCTTCTGGGCAGGGACACCCTCCGACCCAATCTGCCCCTGATGCCAGCAATCACAGACTGACAGTTCAGTGTCCAGGCACACACCTCCCATTTGAGATGCCAGTCTGGTAATTGGCAGACCCAGTCATTTGGCCCGGGCTGTTGACTAGCTGGCTGCAAATCAGGGTTTCTTCAACCTGCCTCTCGCATTCAGTGAATTTACTGAGGGCTCTCACGGAACTCAAGGAAATACTATATAGGTTCACACCTATAGTTCTAGCTACTCAGGAGGCTGAGATCTGAGGATCCCAGTACAAAACCATCTCAAGTAGAAAAGTCCATGAGACTCTTATCTCCAATTAACCAGCAAAAAGCCAGAAGTAGAGCTGTGGCTCAAGTGGTAGAGTGTCAGCTTTGAGCAGAATAAAACTGAGATAGGACCCAGGTCTTGAGTTCAAACCTCAATACTGGCACATTAAAAAAAAGGCTTGCTTTTACTGGATTATAGGATGCTGATGGAAAGATGAAGGGCAAGGTGTGGCTGGAGAGATGCAGGGGAAAGAAGTGCAGAACCGATGTGGACAGAGCTTCCCAGCCCTCTCTCCACAGCCCTGCTCTAGGTTTTAGGGGTCCTTCAATGCAGAGCTAGCCCTGGTAGCGTGAGTAGAGAGAGCCAGCCAGGCCTGGCCACCGGTGCATTCTTCTGGGCCTCTCCCTGCAGCCTTGGGTTTGGGGCAGGACTACTTTGGAGTGAGGAGGGTCTTAGGATCTGTTATCAGAGCCAGGGTAGGTTGGAGATTATGCTGGTTCTAAGACAGAAAAGGGAGAGAATCAGAGTTTTTATGACTCACCTCAGGGAAGAGATTTTAATGGGAAGTAGAACTCACTGAGAGAGGGAACTTGGGGGTGGGGAGATGTCATCACATGAAACCCACCACTTCTTAGTAATATGTCCTTAAAGTACTATCTCTCTTCTCCCCTCTAAAGTGAAGAACAAGCCAGGCACCAGTAGCTCATGCCTGGAACCTTCGCTACTCAGAAGGTTACCATCTGGAGGATTGTCACTTGAGCCCAACCCAAGGCAGAAAAGCCCAAGATACTCCAAATAATCAGTGAAAAGCCAGGCTGGAGGCATGGCTCAGGTAGTAGAGAGCCTCTTGAGCAAGTAAAATCAAGCAAGCTTAAAATCCTGAATTCGAGCCATAGTTTGGGGGTGAGGGAGGAACAGTCCTTACTTTGTTCATCTTTGCCTGGCACCGCCTCTTGGGTGGACAAGCTGGCATGTTCTGTTAACCACCCCATCTTGGCCCACGGTAGCACAGGTGCAAGAGCAGGAGGCTCGCTGGACGCTGCCCAGCCTTGGTCCTGCCACACCTTGGGAGGAGATTGCCAAAGCTGTTTCACAGCCAGGGTTTCTACTAAGCAGATGGAATTCTAGAAAACATCGCCCAGGGCCCAGGAAAGAGTTCTCTGAACAAGCTGGGGGAAGAATCTCTTATTCATTCATCCCCCTCACCCATGTCCAAGTTTACCGGCAGGCAGTGTGCTCAGTACCTGGCTCCACCACTCCCTGGCTGTGTGACCTGACAGGCCACAACCCTCCAGGGCCTCCATTCCCTCCCTTAGAGGTAACAGTTTCCCCTAGCTGTTACCAACACACTTCCCTCTCCCTCTCCCTTTGTCTTTGGGGATCTCCCCCATCCTCCACATGCTGATTGCATAAAGGGCTGTTGTGGCCTCTTGGCTGTAGTTTAGTTGATTGGCTTACAGATGGACACTGAAGTGGAGCTGAGCCAATCAGAAGACTTCCTGGAAAGTGGCAAGGGGCTGGACATGTTCAGGAGTCCTTACTAACCATGTGCAGACACTCTAACGAGAATGACAGAAAAGAGAGAGACACGGGGAAGGAGAGACTATGCCTCAGAAATACTGGGCTCCCTGGTTCCAACCAAGCTGGGCCTGCTAATCCTCCCATGGGTTTCCAGGATTCCAGGAGCTGCCTTGCTACTGGGGACTAGGTTTGTAGAGAGACACTTCCCTGTCAGGGGTTGGAAGGATGCAGCGAGCAAGTGCCTGGCTCACTGCAGCTCAGGAGGCACAAATTCCTTTCCCTTAATGGGCACGAGGCAGGGATGGAGTCTGGCAAGATGTCAGGAAGATGTGAAGTCTCAGCAACTGTGAAGTGATGTAATTTAGCAGCCCCTGGGAGATTAGAGTCAGGTGCTGGGAAACCCAGCCGAGTCCCTCCCTAACCTCTCCACCAACCCAGACAAGGGGGCAGGAGATCAGAAGGAATACTTGCTTGCTTGAAGTATTCAGTGGCTAGGAAAGGATGGGGCTGAGAAAGAAAGAAATCCTGCCCCATTCTTTTGCAGGAGAAGTTGTCACTAGGGTCCCACTGTCCCAGAGATGTATGCCAGGTCCCTAAAGATTCAGATGGTGGGTGCCAAGAAAGACTTTCAAGAGGTGGGGCATTTGAGCTGGGTTGTAACAGATGAATAAGAGCTTGCCAGGTAGGAAAAGGGCTTGGAGAGGTCATTTGACTGTAATTACTTTTTTTTTCCCGGTCCTGGGACTTGAACTCAGGGCCTAGGTGCTGTCCCTGAGCCTCTCTGTGCTGCTCAAGGCTCGCACTCAACCACTTGAGCCACATTGCCACTTCTGGCTTTTTCTGAGTGGTTTATTGGAGATAAGAGTCTCATGGATTTTTCTGCCCAGGCTGGCTTCCAACCGTGATCCTCAGATCTCAGCCTCCTGAGTAGCTAGGATTTTAGGCATGAGCCACTGAAGCCTGGCTTTACTTTCAGTTCTTTTGGTGGTAAATTGGAGATGAAAGTCTCATAAACTTTCCTGGCTTCACAATTCTAAGTTCTCAGAGCTAGGATTACAGGTGTGAGGCAGCCCTACTTAGCAAAACTATGTTTTGGTTTTGTTTATTTATGTTGTTGTTTTAAAAGAAAGATTTATACAAGATAAAATATATAATATATTCAGAACAATGTGTTGGCAGAAACTTGTGGTCAAACACACATGAAACTTTTACATGGTCAAGGCCAGTCCCTTAGACTGAACCCTGAAAAAATTCCCAACAACAAGGGAAAAGCTCTGTTTATCCTCCCACCAATCCAGGAGACAATGAGTGCCCTTAGCCTCATTAAAGATGGACAAACCCAGCCAAGATTACAGAGCCAATGTGGATCAGAGCAGGGGCAGGCATCTCCATCTGTCCAAAGACCCCTGCTTTTGGCTCAGAGAAGGAAAAGGATTAACCCCAGGACACACAGCAAGGGGCTAGGGTGCCAGGATTTCTTCATAGGCAGCCTCAAGGACGGGGAAGGACAGGAATCAGGTCCGGAGGGCTTACATTTGCTCTTTCCTTATCATAACACCTGCTGCGGCCACCTGCCTCCATCCCTGCCCTCTCCCATCCACAGGATGCTTAGGCTGAGGCTGAGGCAGGGCTGGGTCTCATGGCCCACAGGGCAGAGCCGGGACCCTCAGCCTCCAGACCAGGTAGACCTGGTCCCAGCCCCTCCCTTCTCCACCCCTTGAAGCTTCGTTAAAGGCCCTGGTAGAAAATTCCAACCTCACCCCAGCCCCATGGCCTCTGAACTGGTTTTTTCCAGCATCCCGGGGCCCCAGCCGTGGAGGGGGTGTCCAGGGCCTCCCTGAGCCCTTCCTCAGGGTTCCCCGCCCATGTCGGCCTTTTCCCAAGGCCACTGGCAAGCCTCATCCCTGGGGACTGGTGGGCGGGCCAGGGGAGCCGGCTCAGGACGTCCTAGCAAACAGGAAAGGAGACAAAAGCGCTCGCTTGTGCTTGTCGGGTGCCTGCATTCCTTTCAGGTGATGCCCAAGGGGCCACGGCTGGCTAGGGGCTCCTGGCCATGATTCACTACACCTGTCTTTCCTGCCAGCTGGAAGTGGGGCAAGATGCAGGATTGCATGGGGAGACCCACCCTCATCCCTCACCCCTGCACACACACACACACACACACACACACACACACACACACACACACACACAGCGCCCCTCTGGGAAAGAGAACGGCGCCCGTTGGCACCCCCGCATTGTAGGCCCAGCTTCCCACCAGTGAATCGGATCCCATCGGTGCCCTTGGGGAGCGCCCAGCACGGAGGGGAAAAGCCAGCAGACACCTAGATGACCGCACGTCATTGCGGGGCAGGGGCGGCAGGGGGGTTTGGGGAGCGTGGATTTTCTGCAGAGGGCCTGGCGAAGGGCGCAGGGATAGGGAGTTCTACAGCGGCTTTGAAGTGGGAGTGGGTGGCGCGGAGCTGGCTGGGAGGACATCTGATGGGAGAGCAGAGTGTGTAACGGAGGGCCTGGTGGTGTGTGTGTGTGTGTGTGTGTCCAGCCCCCTGGGGCGGAGCTCTCCCCCCCCCCCCCCGCCTGCGGGGCGCTGGGCCGGCTCTGCTGATTGGGGGGCTCTCCCGACCCCCCTGCGGGGCGCTGGGCCGGCTCTGCTGATTGGGGGGCTCTCCCGACCCCCCTGCGGGGCGCTGGGCCGGCTCTGCTGATTGGGGGGCTCTCCCGACCCCGGGCAGCGCTGACTCAGCGTCTGGGGTGGTTCCCACGGCCTGGGGGCCAAAGGCCATGCCATCCCTGCTCCCCCCCCCACCCCAGGTTCTGGGGTCCTGACAGGACAGAAAGGAGGCCAAGATTCCCAGTCCCCCCATCCCTGACAAACAGCTGAGGAAGTCCCTCCTGTCGTCTAGCCCCAGGACACCCCCATCAGCCCTGGAAAGTTGAAGAAACTGCGGTTCTTATCCGTATTTTTGCTTTTATTTTAAAACAGTGAAAAAGGAAAAAAAATAAATATCTTGAAGACTAAGAACACAGGAGAGGGGGCGGGTGGCAGGATAGGCGTTTGGGGGCGTCCCGGCTCCCGTGTTCTTGGGCTGGGGTAGGGGTGGGGTGCCAGGGGCCTCCCCGCTGGGAGGTCTGGGGCTCCGCTGGCCTCTCCTGCCCGCGGCTCCCAGGCCGGGCGCAGCGTCAGCGGATCCGGGCAGGGATTAGAGCCCGGCGCCCGCCCGCCCGCCCGCCCGCCGGCCGGCCCCCCAGGCCCCCCAGTCCGCTCCGAGGGCGCCCCGCCGCCGTCCTCCCCAGGGGTGGGGACCGGCCTGGCCTCGTGCCCGCGGCCTCAGCGGTGCCCCAGGTCCTCCATGCCCACGCGGCCCCACACGCCCAGCACGAAGCTCTCGATGTCGCACTCGTTGGCGCCGCGCACGATGCGGAAGCGGCCCCCCTCGCCCCAGGACGGGCCCCAGGAGTTGGCTGCCGTCTGGGAAGGAATGAAGAGGGTCAGTGGGGGGAGGAGGGGAGGAAGAAGAGGGCGGGGGAGGGGGCAGAGCATGCCGGGGTGCGGCTCACCCAGTATTTCAGCGTTGTTCCGTTAGGCAGCCTCTCCTCTCCCCACCTGCGGGCAGAGGTGGAGGGGAAGGGCGCTCAGCGCACCTGCGCCCAGGGACCCTGTGATTCCCCAGGCTTTTTGGAAATTCGGTGTGTGGGCCCTAGGACCCTGAGAATCTCTGTCCCTGTTTGTATTTTGCAAGTGCTGGGGCTTGAACTCAGAAGCCTGGGTGCTGTCCCTGAGCTTTTGCACTCAAGGCTGGCACTGTATCACTTGAGCCACGACTCCATGTTTGGTTTTTGCTAGTTTATTGGAGATAAGAGCCTCCCAGTCTGTTCCTTTCCAGCCAGCCTCAGTCTCCATACTTCTTGGTCTGTTTGCCCAAGACAACATAGGGGTAGGGAGTTGGGGGGGGGGGGAAGCACCAAGGATCTTACATCCTAGGACTAGTTCTGTGGGACCTCCCACATCTTCTGGCCCTCCTTCCCTTGGGAAGTAGGGGAGCAAAAGAAAGACCTAAAAGAATGTGGGTATCTTTGCAGTGGTTCACTCTGAACTCACACAGCAAAGCACATTACCTAGGGCTGGGTTCTGTGACTCATGCCTACACTCCCTGCTACTCAGGAGACTGAAACCTTGAGGATTAAGGTTCGAAGCCAGTCCTGGCAGAAAGTATGTATGAGACTCGTATGAGACTCTTTGCTCCAGTTAACGATCAGTAAACCAGAAGTAAAGCTGTGGCTCAATCCTTGAGCAAAAGTGCTAAGCATCAGTGCCCAGACTCCGAGTTCAAGCCCTGCTGCCAGCACAAAAACAAAAATAAAGCAAGAAGGACATTGCATTGGCTAGACATTTCACTGACTGCTGAAATCAGAGGGGCCAACTGAGGGCTGGAGAGCAACCTGCCCAGATGGCTCCAGGAGTTGCAAGACTTGGGACTGGGTGCCGAGAGCGGGGAGCTTCGAAGCTTCGCACCTCATCTATATTTTTCCCATGGGTTAAGGACAGAATTGTTCTTAGAAGCCCTTTGGAGGCTCTTCACCCTCAGTGTGGTCCAGGACTAGCCCTTCTTTCTTTCTTTTTGTTGGTTGTGGGGCTTGAACTCAGGGCTAGCAAGCTAGCCACCTTGAGCCAGAGTGCCACTTCTGGTGGTTAATTGGAAATAAGAGTCTCACAGACTTCCCTGCGTGGGCTGGCTTCAAACTGTGATCCTCAGATCTCAGCCTCCTGATTACCTAGGACTACAGGCAGGGGCCACCAGTACCTGGCTCCCTTCCTCTTCTAAACTAATGTTTGCTCCTTTGGAAACAAAACTGGCAAACCTGACTTTGCATGAACGGTAAGGATTGAGAACAGGCTCCAGAGCCTCCCCCATTCCCCAGTGGGTGCCCCACGGCACCCAGTCACCTATGCCCACAAACCCCTCACCCTGTTATCTTGACGGAGTGGGTCCCGTGTCGGCGGTACTGCTCCGGCCTCCCCAGGCTCACTGGCGTGTGGCTGTAAATGCCACCCTGGTACAGGAAGAAGTCCTCGTGGACCTCCATGAGTGCTGTGGGGAAAGGTTGAGGCGGGGCTGCTCAGTCTATTAGTCACACATCAAGACTGCACCCTGATGCGAGACTAAATGCCCCTCCTGGTCGTGTGTGTGTGTGTGTGTGTGTGTGTGTGTGTGTCTGTGTGTGTGTGTGTGCGCACGTGTGCACACCAGACCTGGGGCTTGAACTCAGTGTTTTCACTCAAGGCTGGCATTCCACCACGAGCCACAGCTCCACTTCTGGCTTTTTGCTGGTTAATTAGAGAGAGACTCTCACAGACTTTCCTGTCTGATTGTCTTCCTACTGTGATCTGGGCCTCCTGAGTAGCTAGGATTACAGCCACTGTTTTTTGGCTCTCGGGGCTTTTTGCAGGGAGGGAACATAAGTCCCCCCTCCCAGTCCCACTAGACTTTCCATCAGTGCTGTTCAGACCACCTGGGCCACTATGCCCAGCCATGAGCCTACGGGACGTTTACCTTGGACAGGACCATTCTCCATCAATTCCTTCATGATCTCCGTCTCCTGGAGGGAAGAAGGACATGGTAAGGTTTCATTCAGCCTTTGACAAAACCTCTTCCTCCAACTCCTGCCTCTGCCCCTTCCTGTGTGTCTATGTGTGTGCATGTGTGTGTGGACTTACATCAGAGCCCAGACGGTAGGCAGGAGTGACCTGGTAGATGTCATTAGCATCAACCTGGCTATTGGGACAGTGGGCCGTGGCCTGGCGCTTGCCCCGCCCCGTTGCCCGGCTGTGCATCATACAGCGGGGTGCCGGCCCAGTCTCATCCTGGTCACGGCCGGAGAATGGATAGCAGTTGTCAGACACCACCCTGGAGAGGCAGCAGGAAGGAGCGAGGACAGTGATGTTGGGGTCACACACGAGTGCTGTCCGCAGGGGGGGCTTTGCCCACCTCTCCCACCCACACCCTTTGCTGCATACCCTCGACGCCGCAGGAACCACCAGGCACCATCGAGATGCCCACCTCGGCAGCCCTGCTGGTGGTGGGTGTTACAAGACAACAGGTTCTGAGGTGACAGGACAGGTGTCATGTGTCCCATGGAATGGATGGACACTCGATCAGACGCCACAGCTAGCAGGGAAAGCAGAGGGGCTGTCAGGAGCCAGGCCGTGGCCCTGCTCCCAGCTGCCATCCCCTGGCCGTGGACACACCTGCTGTGGAGAAAGCCCAGGAGCCTGCACAGTTGCCCTGGTCCAGAGGCTCATGGATCAGGTGAGGCCACTTTTTGGAAGACTCGAAGGCTGTGGGCAGCACTTCCTCTGGCTCTAGCACCGTCTGCAAAATGAAGGTGTTGTCATTTGCCCCCTGCCCTGGCCTGGCTACGCCTCCACAGCCCAGCATGAGAGAGCCACTGAGAGTACACTCCCCTGGATCAGTTAGGGTGACGAGTCCTAGTTTACAGATGGGGAACCTAAAGTCAAGAGCAGCAAAGTGGCCAGGCCAGGGTCATCGCTTTCCACTCTCAACTCCCGTCTCATTCCTCTGCACCTTCCAACCTGCCACACCCTCCTTCCTGCCAGGCCCCTGGCCTCTAGGCCCTAGACTCGGGCAGGGGAGGGAAGGAGTGATCTCGTGATCAGGCAGGCTGCCAAGACAAACAGCAGGAGGCAGAAAATAGGCAAAGGCTCAGGGACGTCAGGGCTGGACCTGGTCACCCCAGCCTGGGGCTAAAGTTCCTACATAGAGAAGAATGGCCCGTGGCCCTCCTTACCTCTCCCTGCCTGCCATCAATGGGCAGATCCTCCAGCCTGTACCCCACCCCTGTAAAGCAGCACAAAGCTCTCCTTCCTCACTCTTTAACTATTTGGGTCTGATTCCCATTTATGTCCCTAGAGGGTCCCGTGAGCGGGGTGGGGGGAACCCCCTGCTCCCTAGGGGTTCCGCTGAGTCTGCATTTGTTCCAAGAATTGCCGTTCTCTGGCCAAGCTGGAAGAGCATGTCCCTTTTTTCCTAAAATACCAAGGTGACCTCCTAGTCCTTTGGGCTCTGACCCAACTGTACTGAGGCCAATAGCATTTTTTCCCAGGCTGAGGAGGTGGGGAGTCGGGGAGAACTTCAGCCTGGACTACATGACTTAGAATCTGAGCCTAGCACGGCCAGTACAGCAACCAAGGCCCAGAGAGGGGAGTGACCTGCCCAGGGATACACAGCCTTCGAAGAGGAGGTCAGTACAGGCCCTGGGTGGACTTACATAAATCTCATTCATGTTCATGACAGATGAGGATGGGCGGATGGTGCCCAGGCGGTAGCGAATGCCCTCATCCAGAGTCATGCCCCAGAAGGCACTGTGGTTCCCAGCCTGCCACCTGGAGGAAAAGCCATGAGGAGAAGTCACAGATCTGCCAAGATCGGGGGCCCTTGAGCTATGTCTAGGCGAGACTCACAGTGGCCAAGTGCAGACAAATAACATTCCAAATAAATCTATATCTGCGTGGCATGGCTTACATCTCAGGTGTGGCTTTGCACGCGCGCCCCTGTGCCTGCTGGGGCTGCATCCCACACCTCTTACCCGTAGTTGCCCTGATTGATGGCGTTGATCATGTCTGGGTCCACTAGGCATGGTTCTTGGTCACAGTCCCACTCTCCTTTCTCCTGGCAGGTGCTGGGAGAAAAGAAAGGAAAGGGAGAGGTGGGGGTGGGGACCTTCATAAGGGGGGAAGCTTCAGAGGGTAACAGGAGCCTAGGATTCTGTACGGCCAACTCAGAACTCCTCAGTGACTCTGCCCAGCCTGGTGGCATTCAACATCCACTCAAGCTCACCAGTCTTGTTTGTCTCTGTCACTCAGGTCTCTGCCTAAACTCCAGTCAGAGATATTGCTGCTATTCAAAATCACCAGTGGGGAGTCTAACAAGTCAGATTTAGCACACCCCAAGTCAAATTCTGGTCTGCCTTACTTGTTTTATTTTTTTAAATATAAAATGGCAACACTGGGAGGTTGGGCCAAACCTGGGAGTCAGCCCCGCCTCTCTTTCACACACTGATCCAACCATAAGGCAAGTCTTGTTGGGACTACCTTAAAAACACACCAATAAAATTGGGTGTAGTGGTTCATGCCTGTAGTCCTAGCTGTTCAGAAGACAGAGATCAGGAGGACTGAGGTTTGAGGCCAGCAAGGGAAAAAGTTAGCAAGACTGCCATCTGCACCAATAAGAGCTAGGTGTGATGACCCTCCTAGAATGCCAGTTACACAGGAAACATACGCAGGTGAATTGTGGTCCAGGCTGGGAGATCCAATTTGAAAAATTACTCGAGTAAAAAGTAGTAGAGTAAGCACGAGGCCTTGAGTACCACCAGAAAAACAAACAAAAGAAACACACACACACACACACACACACACACTCCCCACACCCAGAATTCAAACCATCTCTAACTATCTCCTGTGCAACCAGGGTCCCCTTTCACCTGGAGCATTGCTGCCATCCTTACATTGTTCCAGCATCTGCCCTGCGTCATTCCATGTCCCCCTCCAGCGTACTTTTAACACAGTTGCCATAGTGATCCTGCTACGCCTAAGTCATGTCATGTCATTGCTCTATCTCAAACCCTCCACTGGCGTCACCTCACAGAATAAGAGCCAAAGTCCTTGACGGTGACAACAATGGGCCCTGCACAATTTGTCCTTCTGCTCTATGACCTGTTCCTTCTGCTAGCCCTGGATCCTGAGTGAGGCTGGAGGCTGCCCCAGCCTGTGAGCTGAGCTACTCTTCCTCCCAAATTCCCATGGCTCACTCTGTTCTTCCAAATCTTCATTCAAATGCCACTTTCTCAGCGACCCGTCCTCTGGATTCGATCTTTTTGTTATTGTGCTTGTGCTTGAACTCAGGGCCTAGGTGCTTAATCACTCCATGCTGGCACTTTACCACTTGAGCCACAATCTCACTTCTGGCTTTTTGCTGGTTAGAGACAAAAGTCTCATAGACATGCCTGTCCTGGTTGGCTTTGAACCTCAATCCTCAGATCTCAGCAGCTAGGATTATGAGTGTAAGCCACCAGTGCCTGGCTCTCTGGCCACTATCTTCAAATTCAGCCTCCTCCTACTTTGTGCCCCCCTCTTTCCTGTCTTCTTTGACTGCCTGACATCTGACAGTGATGCACATTGATTTCCTCATAGATTCTAACATCCTAAGGGCAGGTGTTGCTTAGTATCTTCAGTACCTAAGTAAACAAAGCCTAGCACCCAATAAATACTAGTTGAGTGAACTGCATGACTGAGACAGTAGAGTACAGTGTGTGTAGGAAGACAGATTCTGGAGTTCAAGTCCCATCCCAGACAACGAGTCAGGTGACCAGTTGTTGATATTCCCTTCCATGGCTTGAGGGGAGAACATACTAAGCTTGCTTCAATGACAGGCTTGTGAAGGACTTAGTACAGAGGCTGGCCCACGTGAGTGCACTTAGAACAGGGCCTGGCCCACGTGGGCACTCAGAATTGTTCTCTATTACTAATGTTCTCACTCGTAGGAACCCCAGCCCCCCTTTTCCTGAGCTGTGGACTCATGGCTGACCTCCAACACCTCTGGATGGTGTAATGGCATCCAAGACTTAAAATAACTACCAGCCTTCTTCAGTTGCTACTCCCAGGGTTTTCAGAACCAGGCATCCAGCTGTTCAGATCGATGGCCTGGGTGTCCTGTGGTGTCTCCCCTACGTCCCCATCAGCCGATTCCGGAGATGACACCTCACACACCCATCTGCCTGTCACTCTTATATTGTGTCCACACCACTCTGGTCCCATGTCACCTCTCACCTGGACCAGGACTTTGTCTTCTGCCTTTCTAAAGTCCATTCATCTCTACTCCACCATCCATTTCACATCTGCCAGGAAGCCAGAGCCCCAGGTGAGTCAGACCCAGCATCTATCCTTAGACTACAGACTGTCAGAACAAAACATTCCTCACACCAGGCACCAGCGGCTCACACCTGTAATCCTAGCTACTCAGAGGACTGCGATCTGAGAGTCACAATTCAAAGCCAGTCTGGATAAAGTCTCTGAGACTCTTTTCTACAATTAATCAGCAAAAAGCTGGAAGTGTGTGGCTCAAGTAGTAGAACATCTACCTTGAGTGAGAAAGCTAAGTGAAAGCCCAAGGCACTGAGTTCAAGCCCCAGTACTAGCATAGAAATAAATTAAATATGAAGAAATAAACAAACAAGAGTTCCCTCTGTGTCTGTAAGACCCCAGGAACTGACAGCACCCCTCAGACCTGTCTTTCTCCCAGCTCTGACTGAGATGACCCTGTCTACCTCCTGGCATCCCTGCCTGGCGGGACTGCTTTGAGATATCCATCTCTTGGGTATCTCATCAGTATATCTCCCTGAAAATGCATTCCCCCTCTAACTTGGGCCTCTACTATGCTTTCTCCTCCATAACTCCTACAGATGTGGGGTCTGTGTGTGTGTGTGTGTGTGTGTGTGTTTCCATATCCCCCACCAGACCAGGAGTTTCTGGAGCTGAAGGACTGTGTTTGCTGAGTTCTGGCTTCCTCTAAGTCTAGCACTGAGCCTGTGAAAAGCTGATCTTCAGTAACTGGATGTCAACTGAAGGGTTGAATTCTGTGCATTCTAGGAGCTTTTTACAAGCTCATAACTCTGCTATTACAAGATGCTAAACTGCCTCCTTGCAGGCCAGCCCCAGGCACCCGCCTCCAGTATGGCCTTATAAGGAGCACTCAATGGGTGCTGAGCCCCAGTAAAGCTGATTCTCCAGCCCAGGAGCCAGCCAGAGGGTAGTGCCCAGGGAGGGCTGGAGGAGGCTGTGGGGACTGAGAGGTGCACTGTCCCTCTTTCCCTTCCCCATACCGAGCTACTAGGCTGGACCTTCCGATGCCTTCCCAGGATCCTCAGCCACCAGGAGCCAGCCAGAGGGGCAGGCAGAGTCGAGGTCCACCACTGTTCTCCTGTCCCCACTGCTTGTGTCCCCGGGCTGCCCAGACAGGTTCAGACAGGGCTGGTGGCAGCAGGTCCCAGCATTCCAGAGGGGCCTGAGAGAGAGTTAACCCTTCACAGCCACCCTGTGAGGTTCAGGAGAGCCCTGAAGTCCTGCACTTGTGATCTCCCGCTGAGACACACACACACACACACACACACGCACACACACGCTCCCACTCTCACGATGACCCAGGCATCCTCACCCCGTGAGGCAATGGAAACAACTGTGCACAATGCATTCCAAAAAGTTTCCTTCTCCCCTGGGGCCTCCCAGGCCCCGGCAGGGTGATGGGGGTGGGGGTGAGTGGGTGCAGGGACCCTATTATTTCCAGTAAGGCCTCAGGCTTCCTACCCAACCCTGCCCCACTTCCCATCTGCTTACGGAGCACCTATGACCCCTTCTTCCTTCTGCCAGGAATGGGGGGGGGGCAGGAAGGGAGGAAGGTCACATTCCAGGGGAGGCCCTGCCTCAGGCCTGCCTGCAGGCCAGCGGCCATCCCTGACCCTCAGCTGTCCCAGGGCAGCGGATGCTGTACTCAGAGCTTTCCTTCCTGGCGTCCCCTTCTTGGACTCTCCTGTGACAGCCAGGAGAGTGGGGAGGAGCTGTGGCCCAGCCCCGGCCAGGATTCCCAGCTCAGAGGTGGCTCCTGGCCAGGCAGCCATGGCTGACCACTCTCAGGAATGTTTCTAGAATGCTTCCATATGAGGAAGCATGATCGGTGTAAAAATCCACACACGCGCGTGCTCTCCCTGCACACTCAGAAAAGGAAAAGGACTCAACCCCAGGAAAAGGATGGCAAGGGTAGGATGGGAAGCAAGTCTGTTGACCACGGAGGCCACAAGGCCCCACTCACTCACCAGCGATTACAGTTGTCCCAGTAGGTCCCGAAGACTGGGTAGATGCGGCCCCCATGCAGACACCCTGGTGGGAAGAAGAGGAGGGGTGATGGGGACCCAGCCAGGAACGGTCATGGTCATCTTGATCACACACATGCACACGTGCACACACACACACACTCACTCACTCACTCCAATCCCAGCCCTGAGGAAACCCAAAGCCAAACTATAGCTGAAGATATTTCCTGCTGAGTTCCATACGAACAGCTACATGGGAAGTTACTCAATGACTCTAACTTGGATGACTCTTGCTTTACCTGGATGCCAGCCACACATTCCTGAGATCCTTGGCAATTTAAATGACTTCAGGCTTGGAGTAAAAGGGGCCTGGGAAAACTGAGGCCCAGAGAAGGTAAGTAACCACTTTGAGATAACAGCATTTGTGGATAAGCAACTCCGGAATGGGTTCTCCTCATGCAAAGCCCCATGGAACTGTGGGGAGGAATGCAATGATTCTCCTATGGGTTGGGGGGGGGGCAAATGCATGGCAAATGCAAGGCAAAAGGGTGGAGGCTGAAGGTAGAGGCAGAGCTGACCTTCTGTCAGCTATGACCTGTCTCAGTTACAAGATTTTGAGCAAAGGCAGAAGAATGGTAAGATGACCCTGGCCTACCTCCCTATATGCCCTATCAGCCCAAGGTTGAGTCAGCAGGCAGGGCCAGCACCCTCCACGTCCTTCCGGAATAGAGACAGGACTGGGAGAAAGGGTGGAAGGCTGGCTGCCATGTCCCTGGCCCAACTGAGAATCCCAGCTAAGGACCTTTGCTCAGTTTTGCTGCAGAGTGGAGCTAGACCACAGGAGAGACTTCCTAGATGGTTACGCTCTCTCCCAGAGTGTGCAAAGCCTCCTCAGCCCTGCTGAGCCTGGGCCTGGCAGGGTGATCCACTCCCCTGGCTGTCTTGGCACCCACCTTGGATAGGAGGGAAAGGGGGTGGCACCCCCAGGCAGAAGTCCCAGAAGTCCGGGCAGCAGTCGGACACAGTGCGGTTGCAGAAGAGGTCACAGTAGCAGGTGGCACCCAGGTAGGGCAGGGCGCAGTCATCCACGCGGCCTCTGCAGCACATGTCCTGCTGCTGGCAGTACCGGCCACCGGCGTCCCGGATGCCCCGCAGATGCAGACCCGGTGCCAGTTCTCTGCGCCAGCGACTCCGCCTTACACCTGGGGCCACCTGGCCAGCCAGCAGCAGCAGCAGCAGCAACAGCCCCAGTGGACAGCCCCGCATGGTGTCTCCTGGGCCTGGGAAGGGCAGAGATCAGGGGTCAGAGGTAGTGAGCACCAGAGATCTCCCTGCATGCATCCTGGGGCTGGTAGGCCAAGGGGGTCTAGAGGGTTGGGGGGGTGATGATATCCCAGCCCCCAAGCAGGACACAACACACAATCTGTGTGTCCTGGCTTCCAGGAGTTGGGCAAAAAAAAAAGTCTCTGCTTGGTCAGTACAGGGAACTCTGAAGACAAGGAAAGGGGTGGGGGTGGGGGGATTGGCATTCTTGGGTCCCCCCACCCAGCACCCATCTCTCTGACACCCCTGACCTTAGTCCTTGATTTTGTAGTCACTCCTGACCAGTCCTCCTGCCCTCTTCTGTCCTCTCCATGTCCCATGTCCCTCTGACCCTGTCTACTGTCTGTCTGTCTATTTGTCTGTCTGTCTGTCTGTCTCTCTCTCTCTGCTGTTGGTCCCAGTTCCTCTGTCTGGCCCCTGTCCCGTTCTGCTCCTCTGTCTACACCCTATGCCCTCTGAGCAGGGCGTCCCTACCTGGTGAGGGGGTGTGGGCTGGACCCCGGCTGCCCTGCGCCTCCGCCTCCTGGCTCTGCGACCGATCTCTGACACCGAGTCCAGGGAAGGGGTGGGACGGTTTATGTACCGCCCCGTCCTGCCCAGCAGCTGCTGCCGCTGCCCCTGCCCCGCCCCTGGCTGGCCGGAGGAGGGGCCACCCCTGGCTGGCCGGAGGAGGGGACGCCGATCACCTGGAGTAAGTTGCTCTGGAGTTCAGGGCTGGGACTGGCTGTCTGGCTGGGGTGGGCAGGATGAGGAGGGGCAGGTGTTTGTCCTCCTGAAGGCTCTAGTCAGTGGAATCTTTTCCTTAGCGGGCAGAACTGCCACTCAAGCATAAAGAGTTGAGGTCTGAAACTAGAAAGGACTTTCCAATGGGCTGGAAAACTCTCCTAGAGAACCAGAGATGGGGCAGCTGGGCTCTGAGTGTTGGACCTGCTAGGGAGTGGTCAGCTCCCCTCTAACCCCTCTGAGGGACAAACAGTATCCACACCCTTTGTCCAGTGATAGGCTGGAACGATCGGAATTCTGGGGAGGATTCAAGGATTCAGGAACCTGCAGACCTTTGCCCCAGAGAGCGCATCTCCAGGAAGAGTGGGTGTGTGGCAGCTGTCTGCACTAGGGCCCCTTGTGGGGTCTGCCTTCCTTGGTCCTGGGAATCCTGTGCCCACACAGCCCCCTCCACCAAGCTCAAGGACACCCTCCTTGGCACCTGCCCCTTTGTCAGGGCCCTGCCGGCTGCCACCCCCTGCAAAGCTCCCCATCCTGCCTCAGGCCTAACTAACCTTCCTTTCACCCTGGCGTCCTGGGCCCTGAACAATGGGGCTTCTGTCCCTCGGGGCACCGCCCTCCCTCACCTTGTGGCGCAATCTCCTCTCTTCCTACAAGCTTGGGCCTGAGCCAGAGGGTTCTACCAGCCAGGAGAGGAAGAGACCACACCTGCAAGCCCCTAGCCCCAGCCTACTCCTCACCTGCCACAGTGCTACCCCCCAGAGGACACGCCAACCTCCCTGCAGCCTCCCCTAGCCTGGGCCCTGGCCCCTGGCTGAGGGAGAGGCCAGGACAACAGAGGCTTGTATCTGGGCTACCCCCTGCCATGGGGTATTAGGGGTGAGTGGCAGGCAGGGAGGAGGTAGGGTGGGGTTCCTTCTCTGGGATGGGGGATGACGTCTGGGGCCCAGCAAAGACATTCACACACCCCAGAGCTGCTTGTCTTCTCCCTCCGGGCAAAGACTAGAAGAGAAACTGAGGCTGGGAAGATCAGATGAGCCTGAACACACAGAAGGCAGGCTTCCTCCCCACTACCAATGCTCTCTTCTCCTCCCACCCCCCACCTGTGGACGCCCTAGTCACCCAAGACAGGTCTCAACACCATCCTGGTTGGAAAGTCCCTTTTCCAATCTAACCTCCAATTCATCTCCTTGCAAGGTGGGTCCCTTGGAATGGGCCAATGTCCTGTCCTCCAGCTAGGAGGCTGCCTTCAGCAGAACGAATGGTCCCCAAAGTGCCTGCCATTATGAATTAGTCTCATGGGGCTGGGACCCAGCCCAGCCCAACCCAGAGCCATCCAACCTATGTTTGTCCCAAATCATCCCTTGCGAGTTCCCGCACAAAGCTGTGTGCCCTGTGTGTGCTTACACATACAGAGCTGCATTTATGAAGTGCTTTTGCTTGTCAGACTGTGTCCCTTGGTCTGTGTCTGCCTATTGGCTACCTGTGTGGAGGTCTGTCTGAGTGTCTGGATGCCTTGGCTATCTGCCAGGACTCATCTGTCAATCTGCTTTGTCTACCCACTTACCTGTCTGCATGCCCCATGCCAGTGTGTATGTGTGCCCATGGAGCTGTGTGAGTGTTGTGTTTGTGTTGGTCCCGGGTCTATCTGGAAGTCAGTGTATCATTAATGGGTCTGGGTGTGTGCTGTGGTGTGTCTGGGGGTGTGTCTGGAGAGTTGTCCCTGTCTCTCTTCACCTGTCTGTGTGTCTGTGCTGGTGTCTGCTTGTGCATGTCTGGGGGTTTGGTTGTCTGGCTGTCTCTCTCTGTCTCTCTGTCTGTCTGTCTGTGCATAGGAGGCAGGAACCACCCCCATCATCGCAGAGCTTGGAGCTGAGCCCATCTCTGTGGAATCTCGTGACTCACTTGTTTCCTTGGACAAGAAGAAGAGGAAAAGGGCAGGGTGTAGTGGGTGCCGGACACCCCACTTTCCATTTCCATGTCTTCCTCCACCCAGCTCACCCTGGTGACTCATTCTCTGTCCTGTTCTTGCCCGGCATGGGGCCTTGTCCAAGGCCTGGGAGAGAGGCATGGCAAGTGAGGCCAGAGCCCTCTTGCTTTCCCAGGAAGCCAGCAAGTCTCGGACAGGGGCTTCCCTTAGGTGGAGCCCTGGGCAGCCTTGTTTGTTCCAGGCCTCGATGTCCATCTGTCCCCACCAGCTCCCCCAGGCCTGCCCCCCCTCTCCTCTTTCTGTAAGGGAGGGGAAGGCAGCAAGGAGCAGCAACTTGCCCCAGGACAGATAGCAGAGCAGAGCCCCAGCTTTCTTCCCTCCTCTGGAGATCTGGGGCTCCTCCAGGCCTGAAACTCTTCTGACTGCTCTGGGCACCCTGGATGGACTTTTCTCTGGGGGGTTAGCAAGGAAGCCATGCTCTGATTTGGCCCCATGACTTAAGGGGTCCAGATGTGCATGGCTCAAACAATGCTCTAGTCAATCTTGGGGACAGTTGTGTCTCTCTGTGGTCAGCTGGACAAGCCCAAAGCTCCAAACAGTGATACTGGGTGATACTGAGTGATACTGGGTGATACTGGGTGATACTGAGTGATACTGGGTGATACTGAATGATACTGGGTGATATTGGGTGATACGGAGTGATACTGGTGATACTGGTGATACTGGGTGATACTGAATGATACTGTATGATACTGGGTAATACTGAATGATACTGGGTGATGCTGAGTGATACTGGGTGATACTGTGTGATACTGGGTGATACTCTGTGATACTGAATGATACTGGGTGATACTGGGTGATAATAGGTGATATTGAGTGATACTGGGTGATACTGAATGATACTGGGTAATACTGGGTGATATTTGGTTATACTGAGTGATACTGGATGATACTGGGTGATATTGGGTGATACGGAGTGATACTGGTGATACTGGGTGATATTGAGTGATACTGATACTGAGTGATACTGAATGATACTGTATGATACTGGGTAATACTGAGTGATACTGGGTGATGCTGAGTGATACTGATATTGGGTGATACTGAATGATACTGTATGATACTGGGTGATACTGGGTGATGCTGAGTGATACTGGGTGATACTGAGTGATACTGGGTAATACTGGGTGATACTGGGTGGTACTGAGTGATACTGGGTAATACGAGTGATACTGAGTGATACTGGGTGGTACTGGGTGGTACTGGGTGGTACTGGGTGGTACTGGGTGATGCTGGGGACTGTGACGGAGATCCAGGCTGGCCTGCTGTGACATGCTGGGCTTCCCTGGGCCTTTGGAGTGTATTGGAAGAAGTGGTCCAGAGGTTAAGTGACAGAATGTTGTGTATGCTGGGGCTTGTGGGCCAAGAGATTGGACTGTGCCAGGGCATGCCTACTGTTAGCATTTGGTTGGTTGGTTGGTTTTTCATTCATTCAACAAGTTCCTATCGAGCATTCACTATGGGCTGAGATCTGTGCTAGGTGCTGACCGTGAGAAGTTGAATCAAATTAACACAGACCCTGCTGTTGACAACTTCACAATCTAATGGGAAGACAGACACATAAATGTGTGCATGCACAGGAGAGAGAGAGAGAGAGAGAGAGAGAGAGAGAGAGAGAGAGACAGACAGAGGCACCAAGGAGTGATTCCAAAATGTGAAGTGCTGTGCAGACAGGTGCAGAGCCTGAGATGCTGGCCCTGTGGGGCCCCATTGTTCTCGCAGAGGAGGCCGCATCTGAGCTGTGATAATGCAGACACACCTAGAGCTTATGGGATGCCAGATCTGAAGGAGCAAAGGTCCTGAGGCTGGGCATCATGTGGTCTGCTGGGTCCACAGGAAGGCCTGGAGTGTCTGGACTAGAGTGAGGGAGATGGCTGGGGCGCAGGAGGAGCCTGGGAGATGTTGGGTGGGGCGGGTCACCCAGGACACTACACTCCCTGTAGGAGGGAGCTGTAATTGTCTTTTGCCACTGAGAGATTTAAGTATGGGAGTGAAATGATCTGGTTTATGCAGAAGTCGGGTCCAGCTGTTCTACAGAGAACAGACAGTACTACAGGGCAAAAGAGGAGTCACAGAGGCCAAACAGGAGGCTGATGTTGTAACTTAGGCCAGCGGTGGGGAGGATTGAATGACCTAGGGGCATTATGATCGAAAGCAGAGCTGGTGCTGGTGGCTCATGCCTGTAATCTCAGGTGGCTGAGATCTGGAGGAGCGTTGTTGAACACTAGCCTGGGCAGAAAAGTCTGAGAGAGTCTATCTCCAAAACAATTAGCAAAAAGCTAGACTGGAGGTATGTCTCAAATAGTAGAGCAATATCCAAGCAAGGAAGCCAAGCATAAGGCCCTGAGTTCAAACCTCCAGTACCAGGTGAAGGAGGAAGATGAGGAGGAGGAGGGGGAGGAGGAAGAGGAGGAGGAAGAGGAGGAGGAAGTGGAGGAAGAGGAGGAGGAGGAAGAGGAGGAGGAGGAGGAGCAAAAGGAAGAGGAGGAGGAGCAGGAGGAGGAGGAGGAGAGAAAGAAATAAAGTGGGCTTGTCCTCTCAGTCTGAAGCGGACCCTGTCTTCCGGCCTCCTGGGTTCAGGCAGCCACCAAGCCTCTGCCGTTCCTCTCACTGGGCAAGGAAGACCATCCTCTCATTGTCTGTCTCTTGAACAGAGTGGGCTTGGGATGGCAATTGTGAGCTGTGCTGGTCCTGCTTGGGCTGGAAGACAGGAGGCTATCCTGAGCTGGGAAGGTTCCACAGAGGTCTATCAGGGGAACCAGACGCCACCATGCACAGACACCTGTGGCCCCAGGTAATCAGGAGGCAGCGGTCAATAACTTGAGCTCAGTTCAGGGCCAATCTG